ACCCTCCTTCCCTCGCTGAAGAAGCATCTTTGTCTTCCGAGAATAGGCTTCTTGGAGGAGTGAGGGAGAGAGAGAGAAAGGTGAAACTGGGTCGAGTTAATGTTTGTTGCACTTTTCACCACAAAGTCCTGTTAACTTAGGATATTTTGAGATCCCTCTAGCAGTTCCTTTTTTTCCTCTACCAGTAGTAGAGGAAAGTAGTACCAGTTGGTTATGGTTCTATCTGATCCATTGAGGGCAACTCCTGTGAAGGAAGGATTAGGGTCCTTTTCCTTCATGCCAGTGTACAGATCACTGGACCAGCACTACCATCTTTTCCACTCTTCTGTGGCCATCAACCAGCCTGGTGAGGCTGGTGGATTCACTTGCTGCCTGTCATTTGCACCTGGGCAGTGTGAAGGGGCCATTAAGTGCCTGGATGCAACCAGGCAACTGAAGTTTGTGGTTTGCTACCCCAAACCACAGCACAAGGCAAGACTAAGAACACAGCAGTGTGGTCAGGAATATTTCCTCGGAGCCTGATAAAGCAAACACAGAGACTCAGGCATTGCTTGCATTGGGTTGTTGTTAGGTTACGTGCCAGAGGAAACAGCAGGCTGGAAAAGCGAGTAGCAGCCAGCAGGGTTGCAAACACAGCCACAGAAGCTCTGGTTATTGGGACACCAAGGAAAAGCTGTTAGGGAGAGAGAGAGAGAGGCTTTTGGGTAGGAAAGAAGTGACAAGAAATTTGGAGCTATAAGGACTAAGGTTGCATGATCTTTCCTTGTTCTTCTGGGTTTTTAGGGAAATTGGGTTTTCAACATTCTCAGTAAATAAACACAATCTGTCTCCATCATGTATTGGATCTTCTAAATGGAAATAGCTCACAAGGCAGAGCTGCTAAACAGGGGGATCAGAAGACTTTCTCTTTTAGGAGAAGCAGCCTCTCGCTGATTGAAAGCATACAAGAATAATTTTGTTTCCTAAGAACTGAGACGTGTTAAAACTTGCTCCTTACCAAATGTCTGCAAGAAATGAACATTACTCCTAAAAGTAATTATCATCTTTTGTCATTTCATCCTCTGCGTATCTCCTCCTCAGTCTCCCTTCTCTCTTAATTCTTTCTAATCTGAGCATTGCAATTCTGGGATTGTCTTCATTTTGGGTCTTTTATAATGCCATCAGCATGGCCAAGATCTAATGGGTGCTGAGCACAAGCACAGGATTTTTCCAGTGTCTCACATGATAAGCTGTATAGCTTGGTGACTTATTCCTGGAACATTTCCATGAGTTCATCTGGAACAAAACCAGAAGGAGAAAGAAAATGGCCCTGGGTTAAGGATGGGAAATGGTCCCATGGGGTGTAGGTGAACATACCCAACCCCTTTGGCAGATTCTGCAGTCATGATCTGCAACCTGCCAAATCCTGCAGTCAGTTTCAAACAGACTGACCGAGTTGCTGAAATCCACGCACAAATACGGGGCAAGTAACGGCCTAAGAAGCCACAATACTCCTTGAAATTCCCTGGATTCTTATAGACCTGCTAGCCGGCATATTAAAATCTAGTCTATCTTCCACCATAACGAGGGAGGTCTGTAGTGAAGCAGTGATTTTAAAGGAATGGAACCAGCCAAAGCTCTGAAAGCCCTGATGAATGCAGGTCGGAGCACTCCCCGCTCCAAGTTACCCCTGCAAAGGTAACTGCTCTCTCGAGTTTCTCTTTAGCCTGAAGTGGTGGCACAGTTTGCACATCTTGGCTTGACATTGGTAGGATAGTTAATTTTTACTAAGCTTTATTTCTTGTATTTTTACCCGTTTGCTTGTGTGTTTGGCACAGCTAACTGTGAAAATAGCTTCTTCTCTGTGGGGAGTAAAGATATGCAATGGCCAAAACAGTGTTGACCTTCCCATAGTGTGTTACACTAGCCCTATTAGTGTGTTACAAGTTCCTCTAAATTAAGGTGTCTGCTTTTGTCTGGAGTGAAGTAGGGAGTCATTTTTCATCCAAATTCCTCCATCCTCTGGCAGCAGAGATAAGGTGCTAGGACTGGGGACCTTGTCCATGGCATGACCTTGTTGGAGAGCAAATGTGTGTCCATAGCCATTTTCTTTTCAGAAAAGATCTGCAGAAGTTACCTTATTCAGTGGCAATAATAACATTAAAATAATATTAAATTCATGTCAAATAAAAGTAATGTTAAAGGGACAACAGATTCTGTCTGGAGTATCCCTTTTTTTCTTGTTTAGCAGCTGCCAACTTAGATTTGTCTATTTTAAGTCAAGCCAGTGCATTCTCAGGCAAAACATATTATGGTGGCAGTAGGAAGTGTCCTTCTCCTAGGCAGTGTAATGAGAGCTGTCATCAGATTTTGGAGGACCAGACTGCAGTGGCTCTTCTCACAGATCTGTGGCAGGGGTAGGAAGGCAGCCTGCAGCTGTCCTGAGACAGCCCTCAGAGCCAGGGGCTCTTTTGAAGCACTGGGTATTTGCCCTTTCTGCTTTGTCTCAAATATGTGGATATTTATCAAGCAGCAGGACAGGTGATGGTTAGAGAGCTGGGTTTCAGTTTCTGCTGGGATATCTTTTAGATATTTTGTGCTTTTAATCCCTGATTATTGAGTTCTTGCTGAGTGCAGAAGGCAGCAGTACAGTACCTGCTTTTTATGGAGATTAGCGCCTGTGAATAAGGCCTCTGAGTTAGCCCATATGTATATAACTAACTTGTTGGTTAATAGGCAGTTTTAAAGAAGTGTGCTGAATTAATGGACCAGTACGTTCGTTTTCTTGCAATTCTGATCTTTCTCTGTGTTACAGTAATTAGTATAGAAATCATCACTCTTTTATTTTTCTTGTATTCAAAATGGAGCTTTTTCATCAAGATCCTACAGATGACTGTGGGAAGATATTTGCCCTCCTGCAAGAGTCATATGAGGGAAGCCCTCACTAAAAAGAAGCCAGATTATGTTTGCTTATTCGTTACTAGTATGAACTTAAAATGTTTTCTGTCTGTTTTCAGACATCTCTAAAAATGAGGTTTTTTCCTAGCTAGAGTTTCATATTTGAACCCTAGACCACGACCTGATCTGAACTTACTGGGCCTGAGCAACAGCAGGGACAAGCACCAAACATGCATTTCTCTGGTGTTCCAGCTGCTTTCCAACACAATAGTTGTCACTGACATAAAACTCCTGCATTTCTGATCAGACAACAGGGCAAGCAGAATGGGAGCCTTGGCCTCCTTGGGGTCATCAAGTTAGAGCCCTTGGTTTGTGCTGAGCAAAGGAAACTATGAACAACATAAAAAGTTTACCATGAGACATATGGAGAGACTGCTGCTTCAAGGGTCATGCCTACCAAAATGGGGCTTATAATGCCTAAACACTTGAGCAGAGATTAGTCAATATGAATAATGTTATCCTGGAATTGGAAGTGTGCTATGGTATACTGCGGTAAGGATACTATTTTTTAATGTAACAGCAAAGAGGAGAAAAATAAGCTGCTGGTCTAAAATACATTCCAAGTTTTCAAGGGTCTTCCAGGCCCTAATTTTATTGAAAAGGTGACATTTTCTTTAAACAGTGATAATCTTTGTTTTGAGAAGATTTTAGCCTTAATGCGGTCAGGTATACCCTCATTACTGCACATACCTCCTGTTGAAGTTTCATCCTTTCCCTTCCATTTCACTTCTCGTATTTTTGGGTGTTTTTCATTAAGGAAATGCAGGTATCAAAAGCTGGGGTCAGACAATCATGTAAAAAAAGGCGTTATAACGTCAAGTTTGTTCTGGTCAAGGTAAATGCCATGGCAAGTATTGATCCAAATGCTCATATTGCAAGAGGTACATATGGGGAATGCTTTGCACTAGTCAGCACTGATTTTAATGCCAAGTGAGGTATGGTATAGAATTACTGAATGAGATTACGTATGTATATCAACAACCCCTGTGGTGGACAGCCGTGTCTCCATATCTTACATCCTTGTAAGGGTATCTACAGAAGTAATCTGAAGGCCACAGCTACTTGCAAGCCCAGGAAAGATAATCAGAGTGAGATAAGCTTCTCCTGAAGTGTTTATAGTCCCTGGAGACCAGGAGAAAGAGGAGAGACAGTTTTAAGGATCTAAACTGTCTTCTCCAAGATCCCTGGCATAACATGGCAAAGGCTTGATAAGTGCCTAACTCTCCTCGGTTCCAGAGTGCTGTCCCGCTCATGAGACTACTACACTTCATCAGGAACCTGTTCAGGTTGAATCTAACTTTAGTTCTGTACAGTATAGTTGTTAATGACAAAATAAGTTATCTAGAATCCCTATATAATCTGTTGAAACAGGGGTTTCTGGAACATGATTCAGCTCATTCTGGGTAGACCTCTAAAACAGGTCAGATGATCAGAGTCTGGAAGGGCTCAGAAACGTTCAGAGTTCTTTTGACTAGAGAGGGTAGACTAGCTCTGAAGTAGCCATCCCCATGGTTAACATCCTTACCTGGATGAGAAGAATCAAACTTTCATTGCTTGAACAGCCAGCAATAAGTTGGGCTTTTTTTGTTGTTTGCTTGTTGTTGTTGTTGTTGTTGTGTTTGTGAAAAAGTTTATAAGAAGGCTTTAAGCAAAATCATCGGCCTGCCCTATATTTAGAAGAGTTATTTGAACCAAAAGAAGAATCTTTTGCAAAAGTCTGAGCTTGCTTCCCAAAATAAAGAAGTTTCTTGCTGGTGGAATGTGCAATACCTGATGGCAAAAGAAGTTGCCATTATGGATCTTGAGCCTTGGTGTTCTGAAGTGAAAACCGAACTTGGTATTAGCTATCCCCAGAGGTTCTTATTTAAGTGCCAGTGAATAATCTGTGTTTGTGCTCAGTAGCTTATTTCCCTGCATTTTCAAGTTTTTATTTTATCTTAGAGTTATTGATTTTATTACAAAGTTTCTTTTTTTTCTTTCCTAGGGGATTGTTTATCACCATTCATGACAAAGGACATATTGGAACAGTGCTAAACTCTTGGCCTGAAGAAAATATTAAGGTATGTGTCATGTCTATAGGGAGTTGGGTGTAAAAATGGGTTGCTGAGTGGAACGGTGTGATGTTATTACAGAATTACTAGTTAAAAGGACAAGATAAGAAATATTCCTTCCCTCAAAGAGTTTCCAGGCCAGCAATTGAACTTCAGAGATTCTGACATGTATGAGCTCAGAGATGTTTTTTATCAAAGGTAGCAGGACCTTAATCAATAAAAAGAGTATGCATTGTAATAAGTTTTTGCAGGATAGGGTTCTGGCCAAGACCAAAGATAGGGATATTAAAGAATTTTGCGGCTAACTTGAGACTCTTTTAGATACACCAAGGAGTATAGCTAACTTGGTGCTTGTAGGACTTATTTCCAAAGTGATGAGTCATGCAGCCTCCAGACTGCCAACTTTCCAGATGGTTTTTGATATCCAGCAGCCCAAAAAGCTATTTACACCGCACCCAAAACGCGATCTTTTGAAGTGTTCTTCACTAGAGCTTCGGGGAAGGCAAGTCCCTGGCATGAAATAAAGTCAACACTAAAGACAGGTCATGCCAACCACTTCCTTCGTCAGTTTGAAATTAAGGGTGTCTGGGAATTTCCCTGGCTGTGGACGGAACATCAATCTCATATCACTCAGCTGTTGCTCCCAGGAATGAAGCCGAGAACACTTTTTCCATTTCTAAGAAAAATAAACAATATTTAGCATGTTTCCAGAAGGAATAATCATATTCCTGTGACTTTGCCTTGGAACCAGAGAGAACAAATGCAGGCTAGATATTTTGTCCTTGCTCTGTCCAGAGATCTCAGTATTTCCTGTTCTTTCTGACTCAGGATTGTTAGCAAAACTCCTTATGGCTGAGAGAGATGTTTTTGCCTTTGGGAACGTGGCACAGAAAGGTTAAACGCTGTTGTTAAGACACCCCAAACAGACCATAAGAAGTGCAGTGATCCGTGCAAGAGACACAGGCTATCTACTTTCCCAGTCTGCCAGACTACAGAGGCAACTAATTTCATCAGTATTTCTGTTTTGGACTGCAGATTTCAAAGAAATTCCATCTTTCAGAATTCCCTATATGGAATTCAGAATTCCCTATATGATTGCACACAGAATTTGCCATGCCTGAACTGGTAGGTGCTTCAGCACTGTTGTGATTTTGAGATAAGTAGGGAGGTGCCCGAACTGCACGTAAGTCCCTGGAGCAACTTAGGTTTTTTTAGGCAGGCTCAGAACATATTGACAGCAGTAAGTCCCATTAAAGACAGTGAAGAAATAGGTAGAGATGCTGCCCCACGTTTTGCTTTGTGGCTCCTTAGAGCTTTATGGCAACATTTGCCGTGGAAATGGGAAACCTGGGTCATTGCCTTGGGTCTTCTGCCTGAAAGGGCTGCGCGAGTGCTGTGCTGAGTTAGCAAAGCTCTGTGATGGCTCTGAAAGTCGCAACACCAGAAGTAGAAAAGGCAAGGAGGAGAAGGCCATCCCTGAGCACATGCATGTGGCAGCCTGTTTCTGTCTGCCTCTTCCAGATTGCTACCACCTCAAGCTGATGAGAGCCTAGAAAACCCTATCTCCTGTTCATAGACAAATGTGTCACTCTCAAGCTATGCAAGTGGCCTGCTTGCCCTCCCTCCCTCAACATGATACTTATCCTGAGAATTCAGAATCTCACTCGGTATTTAGAATCACAAGCAGATGGAGCTGTTCAGATTTGTCCCTGAGGATACTGTTTTCTGTTGATGGGCTCAAGGCAGAGCATCAGTCCTTCCTAGAAAGTTTAAGCTTATGTATAGAGAGGTGGAAACCATAACAAGGCACTTACCTCATTGCCCAAGGAGCTTGGAGATGAGCTTATTGCTCCACATTATTCTGCTGGCTCCTCCTTAGGCACTGCAGTAGTGAGCTACTCAGAGCACTTGACCGAATGGAGCCCAAGGTCAAGATTCATCTCAGCTAGTGCTAGCTGTCTATAGACTCAACGCTCAACCTCATCTTGTTAATACTACCCCACTGATCAATGAAAAGGAAGATGAGCATCTTCCAGGAGAGGTAACATCTTTCATCCCTTACCAAAACAAGTGGTGGTTGGAGAAGACACTCTGTGGAGATGTCTGTTCCTCCCCATCAGCTATCAAAGAAGCTTAGAAATAGGCTAGATGTTTGGTTTAAACTGCACACCCAACTTCTGTTGGGTGGTGATGATTAAAAATATTATTTTCATGTGGTTGTCAGTCAAGTACGCACTGAAACTTTACTTTTGATTTTTTTTAATGCAAAGAGCTATAAACAAGTATGAATCTAACCTCCTGTCTTCAAAATACACAGCAGAAAATGTTTTTTCATAAATTTTCTGCTTTCCTGTATCTTTCAAGTGTTCTGTACCTTGGAAGTCTTTGATACCTTTACACTACAACACTTCTAAGACTTCTAAGACCTTTCTTCAAATGGTACTCTCTCTGATGTGCTTACAAGTGCTATCAAGAAATTTTCAGGCTGTATTTAAATATTTTTCAAAATATATTCTTTATATAGTTATATAGATTTTTATATATTATTGTTTATATATCTTATTCTTTATATAGTTTATATAGTTATATAATACAGAATTTTGACTTTTTTCTCATCAATTTCAGGATAAAACAGTCTTAGTGTATGCACGCACTCAAAACTTTCCCATATTCCAATTACCACCTTCCAGTCCCAAATGCATCCTCTGGGTGTGGAAAAGAAGTGAGTGCACACCCAGAAACAGATGGAGCCCACCCAAAAAAGAGACTTTCCCATCAGTGGCTAACACTTCTCATTGACTCAGAAGGAAAAAAAATATGAAAATGTCCCAAAATGGAAAAGAAAAAGAGTTTTACTGTCGTGGTTATGAATCTCCCTCAGAAGGACATGCTCACCATCTAGCTGAGTAATAGGTGTATAGTTTTAATAGGGTTAAATTAGTTTAAATGGATTTATCATGGAAGATTCACTTTAGGGGAATTCTAACTCCTAGTGATAAGAAACTGTCAACAACAAAACAGCAGATATTATAAATACAGCAGGACAGTTTGAAAATCATCCCTGTTTCATATAGATTGTCACTATTATTTTGTGCATTACAACCCTGGAATATGTCATGCGCATACCATCCTAAAACTACCAGACGTTTTGGTTGGTTGGTTGTTTTTTGTTTTGTTTTGCTTTTTGCTAAAAGGCAAAGCAAAGGTGAAAGGCAAAATAGATATGTATGTGCCCTGTGTATCATTTTTTTCTCCTCAGGCTTAATCCAGAACTGTGTAATGTAGCATAATGTAGTTCTTTTGTCCTGCTACAAACTATAGGTTAAGGCAGAAAGTATACTTGGGAGATGTATATAGTTTATGCTAAATAAAAACATCTGACTGTTTATCATGAAGCTGTATTGCAAAAGTTTAAGTCCTTTCACAGTTTTTCCCTTTAATCATCTGAAATAGGCAGGAAAGGACATTGAGATAGGAAAATGAAGAAAGGGGTTTATTGCATTCCTGAACAAAGAAATGCTTCTCCATTCTAGCAATAAAGAACATATTTTTGTTATTCCCCACAAAAAGAAAGTACAGCTGCTGAAATGTACTGGGGAGCTTCTGATCCCTCATTCTCTTTATTCCTTGCTGAAGCACATGCGTGTGCGTGTCCGAATTTTGGCTTTAACTTTGCGGATCAGCAGAGAAACAACTTCTCCACAGTCTTCTCCTTTGAAATCCAAGCTAGACTGTGCCTTTGAGTCACCCGCGGTCCAGTGACCCATTTGATGTGAGCGCTCTGTTCTCTGAAGTGCTGTGACAGCATTGAACGCTGAGGTTTGTTATTGTATTTACAGCTTTCCTCCCGCAGTGGGAATGGACTCCAACATCTTCCTGTTCTTACTGGGTTTCAGAGCTGCCCACAAGAGAGCCTGACCCTGGGGACAAAACTGTCATATATAGTAGTTAACCTAAAAAATGTGAACCTTAGTCAGAGCTTCTTGTTCCTTTGCCTCCTAAAGTCTGGATGATGTAGAGTGTGAATTGCATAGCTCAGCTTTGGACTTCTAAATTGGACAGTGTTGATCAGGCTTTTATTTCTTTTCTTGTCACAAGGAAAAGACACAGTAAAGAGAAATGCAGGCGTTTATAGGACAGAGATCTGAGTGAGGTAACTCATCGCAGTATTGCTGAAATGCAGAAGGCCAAGTGCACAAAGAGTTAAATGGTAGTGGTTTAAATCCCAGTTAGATGAGGAAAAAAAAATTTAATATTAAATGCATAGTGTAAGAGACTTCTCCAGTAACTGGAGATGTCTTTAGCCCCTTTATGTGAACAGTGTTCTCTCAGCCCTGTTTGTAGTCAATAGAGTGAAACAGATATTTCTGAGGAAGGGTGAATCTGGTCTGGTTTAGGAGTCAGCACAGAGATGAGTGGAGTTATGCCTTAATAATTTCTTCTTCCCTGTACTGACTATAAAAGGAGCACAGGATAAAATACACTTGCAGTGTAAATGACTGTGTTTGCTGAACCTTGACCAAGGGCTTTAAATGAACTTGCATAGATGAGAGTGCAAGGACTGACATCCCAGTGTTTATACCTTCAGTGGGTTTGAACTGCAGCCCAGGATGTTAACAGTGCAAGCAACTTCTGTCACCCTGCCTTGCAGTCACAACCCTGTTGCAGTGTAGACATCTCCTAAGTGACCATTGACCAATTCCTTCTCTGCTTTTTCTGGTTACTGTTTTTTCCTTCTACCCTTATGAATGTCTCTGTGTTTTCCTTATTTCGCTCCCCATTTTGGGTCATTTCTTTTACAAACTCAGTGCTATCTCACTGCTACTATCAGAGACACCAGATGCAAGAGGACTCAGTTACAATGAGTTCTGCTTTGATTTTCTGATGTTGGCCACTCTACGGATACTCTTCAAGAGTGTGAAGACTTGAGCTGGTTTCTTCCACAAAAGTAGTTCATGAGCAAAGGTGTTTTGCACAGAACTCTTTTTCTAGCTGTCCAGTAACAAAAAAGAGAGGAAAAATCTGAGCCAGATCTCTCTTATGCAGCTTTTGACTGTGTAGATGGGAGTGCCAAAAGAGTCATGTTTGTGGTTCTGCCACCACAGAATTGAAATGTTAGTGAGCAGAACTGCTGTACTCCCACACTGAGTGCAGCCTACTCATGGGTCATGTTATCTCCTCCCCCAGAATGAACAGCCTGGTAACATCAATAGCTGATTGGCAATAACATGGCATTATGTAGAAGGAACCACTATCCTTTGCACAAGCGCAAATGGCATTGGTATGAAGACAGTGGGGTTGATTTTGCTACTAGAGCCTTGGAAACACCATACAGCGGTCTCTTTTGATCCTCCTAGGCTATCGTGGTGACAGATGGAGAGAGGATTCTCGGATTAGGAGATCTAGGAAGTTATGGCATGGGTATCCCAGTGGGGAAGCTTGCTTTGTACACGGCTTGTGGTGGAGTTCACCCACAACAGTGTCTCCCTGTCCTGCTGGATGTTGGCACAGACAATGAGGTAAGACTTAGAATTTTTTCATGAATCTGACAGGAGGAGAAATTGTTGAGATTGATGCTTAATTCTGAGGCCAGATCCCTAAATGTGGAGCCAAAGCCAGAGACATCCAAGATCAGACGATGGCTAGACCAGCACAGCGGGGAAGCGGCCAGGTTGCATTCCTGTTTAACAGTCAAGAAGCTCTTGTTCTTATGGGGAGCCTAAATAAACACTCAATAGCCTCCTGGTCCCCTGGTGAGAAGACTCAGAACGTTGCCAGTTGGAGCTGATAAATCAGTTGATAAATCATATTTCAGCGTGGCAAGGTGAGTTAAAAGATTTCAGCCAGGAAGATCCAGATTTATTCTTCCTGTGGTAATTGTGAGGAAACAGACAGATGCCCATGTCGATGTGGAGGTGACTGTCTTCCAGCAAGTGGAGAATCCCTGGTGGGTAGTTTGGAAATGATTAATTTCAGTGTTTTGTCAGATTGCACACTTTACTGCACATGATAACCAGACAGGAGGACTCCATCTGCTTGCTGATTTTTGCTTTATGACTCTGGCTCTGAAAGGCTGAAGTGCAGCATTTGAACAATGCCAGAATGGACATCTGTGAGGATGTCTTTTTTTTTTTTTTTTGGTAAATGAATATCCTATAGTTATATGTGATGGCCAGGGTTTGTCCACAGCTGTAAAATGTGCTTGTGTCTCTCTTGACCCTAAGTAAAACAAATGTGTTTCTTGAGAGAAATGACAAATCTTTGGTATAAAAGCTCTGAGCTTGTGTATGAAGTCGTATACTTCCACGAGTGCCGGACATTTTCAGACATTCCCTGGAAAACTAGATTTTCAGCACTTCTTTCACTCAAGCCCCAGGTCTCTCACACTGGTCACTTGAAAAGAAAGCAAGCAAAATCAGTATCCATAGATGATATCTAGCATGAGGTTCCCAACCATCTCGTCTGTCTCTGGTCCCAGAATTCTTGTATCCTGGTGCAGTAGCCAGTCCATGAGGGACCTGGGTGCAGGTGCTTCCCCACGCACTGCAGAACGTGCGTCTGTTTCTGCCTCAGCATGCCAGGGACTGCAGTCTAGAGAAGCACACTCGATAGGTTTTAGGTATCTTCAAGGATAGCTGGTATCACAGAAAGAGACTTCCGAGATCAGTTTCCAAGTTTTGAAAACTTTCAAACTGTCCAGGTCCCCATGTAATTTATGTGCCCAGCAGCTTCTCTGTGAAAGCAGTTTCCAGAGCTGGGATTAAGATAACAGGAACAGCACATTTTTCAGTCGTGTTTTGACCATAAGTCTCCCTCACAATACAATTGATTAATTAATTAATTTAGTGACTTTCTCCTGTACATAAATCCAGCATCACCAACCCTAAGCACAACCCAGCAGCATCCTGCCCTGGGTGTGAATTTATTCTAACAACATTGCCATTTCGTCAGTGCAGAGATAGCTCCAGTAGGCACCCATCCTCTTCATCTCTCCTTGTTAATATATAGTGAGCCTAGGGTGACAATGCAGCTAATACAGGCATCTCAGCTAAAATGGAGTAAAGATAGCAGCTTTATTACATTTTTAACAGCACTTCCCACCTTATCTTTCTGACAGTCTAAAATACTCTCATGTTTACTTTCAACAAATCAGCCTTTTTCTAGAATTTGATATTTCCAAGCATACCTGAGAGAATCTTCTACTCCACAGACAGGCCAGAGCACTGGAGTTATATGAATAACCAGTGAATTAATACAAATGAGTCCACTTTCTGTTTCATGTCCCTGAGGAGTTAGTGTATCAAATGCAAACAAAAACTTCTTTCATCTTTTCTGCTAAAAGAAAGCAGCTGTGGCTAGAAAAACACATCTAATTTTAGTTCTGCCAACACTTTGAGCCCATATGGCTACAGGACGATGGGCCGGTGATGGGTTGTCCTCTCTTCTTATACTGATGATTCAGTTCCTGGAATCAGGAGGGAACTCTAGTTGCTTTGCAGTGACTCACCAAGGTGTTGGCCCACGTGTCTCCTGCCACTCTCTGTCCTGTGATACTCCCCAAGCTGTTTCTGTCTCCATGCTAAGCCAGCCCTTTGACATACCCATCCTAACTTAACACCTGGTGGATTGGCTGGAGGAATGGCTCTTTTTTATATTCACAGCAGGAACTAAAAAATAAAGTGATTTTTGATTAAAAAAAAGCCCTGCCACAATAAATGCAGATGACTAGCACTGAGTGCTTGCTAAAGGGCATGGGAACCTTCCAACAGCTAATTGCTGGTTCTGGTCAGCTCTGGGCTGGCTGCTAAAGACCTAAAAGATGGATCATTTTGGGTTACTGCAGGCAAGCTTCATTGCTCAAAGTGCTGTTGGGTCAACACCCTTCCCTGCAGTGAGAGCTGAACATTTCTAGAACTTAGTGGGCTGCAAATGCTCCCTACACAAGGTCATTTTTATTCACCACGAGTGAGAGACACCTTGGTAGAGTGTCTAGTAGACTGTTTCTGTTCTGGGGATGCAGAGCTCCATTTCCTATTGTAGTCCAACAACATTAAGTTCCTCCAACTGTAACCATAAAAAATAGTTCATAACACAAGTAAACTTGTGGATCTGCCCTGTGATCTGGAAGAGCTGTGTAAAGTGGTGCTCACTACATGATGAGTGAAACTAATATGACTAGAACAGACAAACATTTTGGGAGGCTAGGACATAAATCTCCCTACAGGCATGGAAGAGGCACTGTCAACAGAATTCCTTTGTGTCCTAGGCTCTCCTGAATGATCCACTCTATATCGGACTGAAACACAAGAGGGTTCGTGGGAAACAATACGACGAACTGATTGATGAGTTTATGCAGGCAGTGACCAACAAGTAAGTGGGATTATGTACATGCCTCCTCCGAGCTGCTTCTATTTAAGAACAAACGATGCAACTCTTGAAATAAACATTAGTCTAATTGATTGTCCAAGCAAAGGAAGGTCATTTAAATGCAAGTCTCCTGGGTGGTCTACAAATTACTCTTTGTGCTTGAGCACTCTATGCCAAGATTATTTATATCTTCGGGGACTGAAATGGGGCTAACTATTTATATCCATTTCCTGTCCATACAGGCCAGAGGTGTCAAACATATGCCCTGTAGGCTGTATCTGGCTTCCATCATGCATTTATGAGACTCATTCGGCATAGGCAAAATCTAAACTTCAATTTGTTTACCTTTTGTAAAGGCAGTTTCTATCATTCACCGTTGTGAAGAAAGTCTCCTAAATGGAAATAGTGTGGTGTTGTCTGCCTGAGTCTGCAGGAAGCTTATCTATCACTTACTCTGTAAAAGCACAAGCTTCCCTGCTGGTATGAAGCCTGTGGAATGAGAAGGCCAGGACTACAAACACCATGTCCTTAATTTTGGGACAAACTGAATGCACATTCCCATTCTCACTGGCTGCCTGAGACAGATGATCTCTGATGTGTGTTCTCGGTGTGAAGGGAGTCTTGCTAGAGACAGAGCTGGGAATTGCAGCTCAGTGCTGTGTGTGCACTTCTTGCACTATATTTATTTCCCCTCTATGGAGAAAAAGCAGCATTTTCCATCTTTCCTAAAGCAACAGATGATATGGATGAGGAAAGATAGAGAGCTGTGATTGGTACCTGATTGATGGGTACTGCATGTCTTTATCTTGTAGGGTCTGTTCTTTGCAGCTGAAGGAGCCTTGTTGGATCATTCCTCTTCTTTTCGGGCTCCAGCAGGCTCTGCGCCTGTGTCTGTGTGTGCCTGTGTGTGTTTCTGTAGAAATGGGAGGGAATGGGTGGTGTGTGTGTCATCAGCAATCAGTTCATCACGTCTCCCTTGAGGTAGGAGACATAATGTCCAGTGGCTAATGGCAACACCTACCCTTCTGCTGAGAAGCTTCTCCCTATGCTTGGTTTGGCTACTGAGCTGGCTATGGGTGGAGAAATGCAGGAAATAAGGCCCATTCAATCACAGCTGATGAACCAAGTGTTATGAGAGAAGAGGATGTTGTCGAGAACTTTGACATCTGCTGATGCACAACACACTGTGCATGTGAAATGCTGCTTGTAGGACAGGAATTTCTCTTTCATCTGTCAGCAGCAAGATGGACATGTCCCATATGATGTGGGTCAGTACGTTAGCCCTCCAAACCTCAATTTCCCACCGACTGCACAAAGGTACTTGTTTTCAGTCAGTGTTGTAGCTCCTGTATCTGTAAACATGAACACAGTAACACTGGCCTGCCTGGAGGATCAAAAATACCTAAAGATAATTGCAGAAGAGAAAATTTGTGCATGTGTGTGCCAGTTTGTGCTTCTCTGTATTGGATAAAAAAAAAAATTGACCAAACTGTTAGTTCACTACAGAGTAGTTTTACATTGGAAACTTGTGGGAACAACATTGTTAATTCTTAATGACTAGAAATTACTTAGGAACTAGAAAATTGTTAAAACACAACTAAGAAATTAGGAGGAAATCTGTGGATTGTACAAATGATTTAAGAGTAGACCACTGGTTTGTTTTTGTTATTTTATTTTGACTGCAATCACTAATTAATTCTTCAAGGAAACTGTCATGTTTCCCTTTGGCCAAGAAACCACAGGGGTATTCCAGTGTCAGTACTGATGATAGATATGGAATGAGAAATTAGATCATGGTGTCAGTCAACATACATTTAGCTCGGGGATGTATGTTTGGGGTGTTAAATGCAGAGCCCGTTGCAACCACTACTCTTCTGATGTCATTGACACCTAGAAAGTCAATTTGCCTTTTATGTGCTTGCTGCTGCAGGGAAAGGATTGACTGTTGTTTTCTTATGTTTAGTTTACATTAATTAATGTCTGCACTGAAGGGGGTAGACCCTCAGACACCAAAACGATGAGCTCCTATCTTGTGAAGAGGTGATATCATGTCTAATGTTTAATACAAGTACTGGGAATACATTTCCTGGGATCTCCCTCCAGTTTTTGTATTTCTTTCAGCCAGGATGAATTTTTTGAACACAGGAAAGCCCAGAAAAGTTCTCTACAAAGTGAGGCTAAAAAAAAAAATCCATTTTGTAGTTCTCCATTTGCATCTGTAAAGTGTTTGTAGATCCTTGGGTGAAAGGAGCCATTAGTCTGTATTATTATCATGACCACCAGCATACTTTTAACAGCTGTTGGAGTGTCATTCTGTACAAGCTCTGGACTGGGGACTATCTCTGCTGTCAGCTGGGGTCTGGCAAAGTTACATGGAGCGAAGTGGAGCGAATTCATTTGCAATGGGCAATGATTGGATGCAACCTAGCAGGAATTCTCACTTCTGTTATGAAAGGAAGCTGTGATGGTTCAGAAGGAAAAAACATGCTTCCTTATTGCAGCCTGCTTCATTTGAGGAAACCTGTGAGTGTGAATTGGTGTGATCCTCAGTCTGCTTTGATTCCTTATGCAAATGTTTAACATCACATGGGAACTCACATATCTGTGGAGGAAGCTTTTGGATTGTCACAGATCTCCTGGAATGTGAGAGGGTTCTTTTTCAGCTCAATGTTCATGCTGAAATTCTGCCTGAAGGTGCTTCCTGGAGGTACTTCGATTTCTCATGGAAATCGTTTGTCAGTTCCTTTGCAGGAGCACCTCCCAGCCTGTCAAATAACTGCTGGCTCAAGGGACATTTGTCACTAAATTGGAATGTGTCGGAGCCCACAGGAAAGCCAGCAGAGTGAAGATTTACAGCTCTAATGGAATAATAATATCAAGCAGATGTCAAATTTCTATAGCAGGAGACCCCATGCAGTCAATGGAAAGTGCTCCTGGTCCCATAATAGCCTCCTCATAATGGAACTAGGAGTGCGCCAGAGGCTTCAGAGTTAACATTTAAAGTATATAGAAATAAAGTGTGACTTCTGGGCATTTTCAGGTCAAATAGTTAAAGCCCTTCCTGGAATGTCTGAATGAAATAGCTGCATTTTCATGGCGCATAAACCTCCATTCATTACTCTCCACCTAACATACATAAAATGACTTCCTAATGAGAGTTCCAAATACCTTGCTTTGCTCCTCTGGGGAGAGAACCACATTCAAAATTTGAATTTGAAAGCCCATTGACTTAGATTATGACAGAATGAAGAAGTCTGGCAAACTGCAATTTTCTCACAGTGAATAATACAATCTGTGATGGAAAAATACTTATCATGTTTTCCCTTTCCCGATTTGGAAGGGTAAAGGGCAAACCAGCCACTTTTATTCTTGAACTAGTTTTTTTGTTTGTTTGTGTCGGGTTTTTTTTTTTTTGTATTATACTCATCTAAAATATCCAATAATCATATTAGAATAACCCTCAGAATTTCTAAGACCTGCATATAGGAGCAAATGAATTTTGAAATCAAAAGAGCCAGGAGAGATGCTATTGTGCTGGCATATATTCTCTGTGCACTGCAGAGTAGCTGGTCCTCCAACACCATGATGAGCCCTAGTCTCTACAGTAACAATGTTCTTTAACTCCCAGATTCTTTCAAAGCAAACTACTACTACAGGTTTCTTCCTTCCTTCTCCCTTTCTCCTGAACTGATATTGAGGTATGGATCATATACTACCATATAAACAACTAGACCAGGTATTTATATAAGATCCTCGGTATCACTCCACTCACTCCTGTGGCTTCATCCTGCAGTAACGGTGCAGCTCAGAGGCTCCAAATGGCTAGAGGTGTTGACGGATGGCCTGCCCCAGAGCTGCAGCCTCTGTTTTGAATACTGGCCTCATTCGCTTGCTGACAGGCCCTCAGAGAGGCCCTTCCACACCCCAGCAAACCATGTCACAGAAGCCTCATCGAACTGTCATATTTTCATCCCCAGTTCCTCTCCCATCACCGCTTATTAACAGGGTGACTGGGAAAACAGAAGTTTTCTCTTATGAGCCTGTGCCATATGGCTGCACATAGAAGACAACAGGAGATCAACACCTTCCAAAATGGCAGAAGAGAGAAAGTAGCTCTGCTTTCTTGTGTTTGTTTTATAACTGGTGTCTGTTTGCCTATTCCCTTCCCAGTGATTTGCCCACAAACATACCCAGCAGCTGCAGATCAGGTCCTGTGTGCTCTCCAACAAGCAGACATGATGTTCCCCATCATGTCACATCTATTTCTCCAGCAGTACGGCTCCCAGATTCAGCAGCAGCACCTTTCTGAAACAAAATCACCAGTATAGTTGTCCCCAGCATTATTTATTTGGATGTTAGTCAAGTTAACTAGTTGATCCGGAAAGTCTAGACTTAACTGTCTAGATATCACTGGCAACCACAATGTCCTTGTTTTTTCTTATCTTTTATAGGCTTTGGGTGACTAACTCTAGGAGAGATGTTCTCTTCCTGATTCTGAGAAAGATGAATGTGCCTCTACCTTTCCCCCAACATAAGGCTAATTAAGTTCCTGAGCAGCAGTGCAAGCCATTTCTGAGTGTTTTGCCACCTGACACAGAGCAAGAAGCTACAAGTGTCAATGGCAGTGGCTTTTGACCCATGGGCTGTAGTACCCACCACTATCCATGCTGTTAAGACATTTAGTTAGCTAAGATGTCTGGAACTGCTGCATGTGGACCTTCTGTAGTAATTAAGTCCACATTTGGTGTTGCCAGTAAGATTCCAAATAAAGGTTGACTTCATTTAATTTCTGTATCTGTTGTCAAGGTGTTAGCTACTTTTTTCTACTTCTCTTTCCATAAGGCTGAGAACTAGAAGTTGCTCTTGCCAGTCTGAAGTGGGGGTGCAGAAGTTAGAAAACCTGAAAACCTGTGCTAAAATGACTCATTGTAATTAATGACTGGGAGCAGGAAAAGATATGGTGGTATCTGAGGCAGAAGAACATCTGTCAGCTTCCCAGTGGCCTTCTTTGTGTGATTTCTGTATTACAGTGAAACATCTGAGCTCATC